AAAATAGCCACATTTTCTAATATACATTTGTAAGTAAGACTAGAAATTGACTTAAATTTTGTCTGTTGGCTTCAAATAAGGGTGCATTTCCAGAGATATATATGAATATAAGTGCCAACAAATTTGGGCGGGAAGGTCTGGTGGTGAAAAATTCATCCAGGCTCTTGTAGACAACGATGTCCCTTCTGAATTTGTAATCTAGATGTGCAAGATGAGAGTTGAGTGGGCATAGCAGGCTTGTATACACAACAGACAAACATTTAGATAAACTGATCACATTTCAGTCTACTTGCATATACCATCACTTTATCCAATATGTTATTTCTAAGATGGTATTACTACTCACCAATACTGTTTGGCAGTAAAGGAACTGTTGGAATTGCAGCAATAGCATCTACTCCTTTCTCTTCAGCATGTCTGGCCTAAGTATAAAACGAAAAACATGAATTCATGCAGACCACTTATTATACTATTTAAATTAACATATTATTTGCAGAAATAAAATTAGAAAACAATATTTCCTGTTAAGTTCGTCAAATTTGTTAAGCATGAATGTGATGGCCGGCGCTCAATTGAAAAGTAATCTACTGTAAAATACTTCATTTCAGCTGGAATTAATTTTTGCTGAAAAGACTTTTTGGGTGTTTTGTATGGAATTTATTTTTGATGAGTTGCATGTGAAATATAGGGGAAAAATTTTCACTGAAACATCCCTTCAGCAAAAATAGCAAAAATAAATTCCAAGTGAAAATAAAGTATTCTACAATAGATAAAATAATCAGTAGCAGATATATGTTCATTGTCTCTTACCAACTCTTGTGTTGTGTTGAGGCTACCTGTTCCAACCTGTAGAATAATCACATCTAACCTATGGAAGAAGACAATATATAGAATATCACACTGAAAAATATGTATTTCAGATGAAGGATTAGTAACTTTGCAGTGCCATTCATAAAGTTCACATTCAAACATATTAGTGCAACAATCTGATGGAAGCATGCAATGTCACTGAACACTTGCTGCATGAATTATACCAGTGAGTGAAATAGTGAGGGTAGTAAAAATCCCCAATGGTGTAATGACAATCACCAGTAGTATAATGACAATCACCAGTAGTATAATGACAATCACCAGTAGTATAATGACAATCACCAGTAGTATAATGACAATCACCAGTAGTATAATGACAATCACCAGTAGCATAGTGACAATCACCAGTAGCATAGTGACAATCACCAGTAGTATAATGACAATCACCAGTAGTATAATGACAATCACCAGTAGTATAATGACAATCACCAGTAGCATAGTGACAATCACCAGTA